ACAGTATTTAGTATTTACAGTATTTAAATTATTAATACAGTAGTTACAGCATTTAAATCATTTAATTTCTTTCTTGGAGGGGCTGCTTGGGTAAAAAAACTCTGAAGAAAAAAAAGCTACCAGTATCACTTTATAGGAGAAACCGTGTGAAAGCCCATCCACGGAAAAGGAAAATGATACACAGGAGCCCTCCTGTACCTTCAGCGGGGACTCTAGAGGTACTGGACACATGGACTTAGTTACATGATAAACGTGGGTGGAAGAGAGACGTACTGAGGATATTTTTAAAAATATTCTATTATTTATTTGACAGAGAGAGACACAGTGAGAGAGGGAACACAAGCAGGGGGAGTGGGAGAGGGAGAAACGGGCTTCCCGCAGAGCAGGGAGCCTGATGCGGGGCTCGATCCCAGGACCCCGGGATCATGACCTGAGCCGAAGGCAGCCGCTTAACGACTGAGCCACCCAGGCGCCCCGGTACTGAGAGTATTTTGATCTTGGCTGAAACAAAGTTAATTTCTCTTACAGTCTTTGGTTACCCGTTGCCCATCACCTGTCTTCCATTTCCTCTCTCTTCATTAATCCCTCCATGCCTTTCTCCTCTCCCAATCTTTCCCATCTCTGACCTGAACTCATGAGGACGTTAATCCAAATGAAAACGAGCTGGGAGGATGTGAAAGCATTTTTTCAGCTAAAATCCTCCTCAGGCTCCAGCTTTATATAGGTGTGCACACCATCAGATCCTTCCTTTCCCTTCCCTAACCCATCCCACCCACACTGACCTTCCCAAATCATTCCACAGGAAATCCTGTTGCCCATAGCAGGCAGAAGCTCACTGCCCACCTCTGTCAGGGTCTCCCCATCCCACAGGGGCCAGAGACAAGAAAGTCATCACCAGGGAAAGGAGGACTCAGGTTACAAGTAAAGAAATTGCTATGAACTGAGATTCTGCAGTTGGAAGTGAGTTCCTTGTTCACAACTATCACAGCAGGCCATGTGATATTATTCCTTCGCTACAGCCTGGATGTTGACCAGTGTCCCCATCTCAGGCCATGAGGTGGAGAAGGTACTCCCAATTTGGAGACTCCTAATTTAGAATGAGGGGAATTGGGTGGTTGCTGATCTTGATGGCCCAAGGGGATCCCCAGAAGCATGCGTTTTGCCTCTGGCCCACAGCCTCACTATTTGGGGTGTCATGCCTCACTCTTGTTCTTTGTTCTCAGTTTTCTGCACATTATGAAGAATTCCCTCTTTGAATTTGAGAAACAAGACAGAGGATCATAGGCGAAGGGAGGGAAAAATGAAACAAGATGGAACCAGAGAGGGAGACAAACCGTAAGAGACTCTTAATCTCAGGAAACAAACCGAGGGTTACTGGAGTGGAGAGGGGTGGGAGGGATGGGGTGGCTGGGTGCTGGACATTGGGAGGGTATGTGCTATGGTGAGCACTGTGAATTGTGTGAGACTGATGAATCACAGACCTGTACCGCTGAGACAAATAATACATTATATGTTAATAAAAAAATAAATTAAAAAAAAATTTCCTCTGTTTCAGTGCGTGTTAGTACCCTAGGCATCCATCCCAGGCAAACAGCTTCACATCATGAGACGAGGGGTCAAAGCGGAACGCAGAAAATCTGTGGCAATAAGGGGAAAAGGGGGATTTTTTCCCTTAATACCTGACACGTGGTGGGTGTTCCCTAAGTCATTTTTGAATGGACTTGGGAAGGTAAAATTAATATATCTCAGTTTTGTTTCAAATACTCAGTGTTTGACTTTTTAAAAGTTTGAATATTTTTCTTATTGTTTCAGGGGTTGCTGCAGTGGAGAAAAGCAATGTTCCCAAGGAGTCAGATGGGAAGGAGGAAGGCAGCTTTGCATCTCAGGTCTGAGATCCCTAAGCCCGGTGCTTGGGAGAAGCTCTCTCCCACTGCTGAGTGACGAGAAAGCTAGACTCAGAGCCCCACTCTGACCCAACCTTGGTGCTGAGGCCTCTGAAACACCAATGGGAAGAACAGAAGCAAGAAAGTCTATCCATTCAAATTGGTTTAGAAGAGGTAGAAACTCATACTCAGCTTTGGGGTAGACTGTTCCTTTGCAAAAGTGAAATTAAGGCCATGGAAAATGAATTATTTGTTTGAGAGTCTGTGGCTCCAAGGAAGGACATGCTGGCCTCATTATTCCCTCCGGAGGGAGAATTGTGAAAGGAAAAAAAAAAAATGCATGAACAAGCCAAAGCGAAGCTCTAGCACAATATTTATGGAAGACGAAATTAAGACTGAGTCATTCCAGACCCTGAAAAATACCGGTGTTGTATTATGGTATATTTGATGAGACTGCCCAACGGGGACCCACTGGGAGGTCTGGGTTCCCAAGCAAGAAAGGGACATTTTTCCTCTGAGGCCTTCTGGGAAGCTGGCAGGCTCCAGGACAGGAAGCAAAGACTTGAAGGGGGCTGGGGCTGCAAGCAACATTCTGGGCCTCAGACTGTTGGGCCTGGACTCTGAAGACTAGAGACAAACCTGAGGGAAGTCCAGGGTGGTGTAGGGGAACGTTGGCCTTGGTCACCAGAACGTGCCCTTGGGAGACCACAGTGCAGTGGTCAGCGTTCTCAGACTAGGGCCTGCGGGCCTCGCGGACTCGGGGAGGAATCCTCTCTAGCTCACTGAGGAAACCAGAGGACTAGACAGCATCTCTGAGGTCCCTGCCCATCCCAGTCCCATATTCTTCCTTCTCCTTAGCTCGCTCAGTGTCCCATCACAACCGGAAGTGTTGCTTCATCCCCGCAGAGGGAAGTTTGCAGTAACTTAGAGAAGAGCAGACTATGTTCATCAGCAACCGACATTGGCCAGCTCCCGGGGCAGATCCACCAGCAGCCGTGACCGGTGTGGGCCCACGGCAGCACAGCATCTCAGGTGCTCCTGACTCCTCTCCCAGCCCAGGGTGCTCAGCAAGCCCAAGAGCCTTGAAGGGGACCTTCTCTTGACCTCTTCTCCGCACTCCCAAGAGAGTGCACAGCAGCAGACACCTGTCACTGGCAGGGAATCCAGTGATAATTCTATAAATCATTAACAATACTTTATATTTGGCCTTCCACGTTTCTCGTTTCCAAGTGCTTACACAGCTGTATCTACTAAGTAGCATTGACAGCAGAACGGAATTCCAAGGAAAGATGGTGGGCTGAGTAAGATGAAGCCTGGAGGTCATTTTAAAGCCTCATTAATTCTTCTTGTTTTGCTTTTTCTTGTGGAAATGTTCAAACATACCAAAAGTAGAGAAAATACAGTATAATGAGTCTCCATGTATCAGTAATGTAGCTTCAAAAATTATGGGCAGCTGTAAAATCTTGTCTCATTTGTATCTGCAATTTTGTTGGAGGGGGTGGGTACTGGATTTTTTTTTAAGCAAATCACTGATATCATGTCGTTTCACTCATGAAGACTTTAGTGCCATTAGTAAAAATCCTCAGTCATCTATTCTCTTCAAATCTACTATAAATCTACCTGATGAATAAATCAGATTCTAACAAACTGCTTCTCTTGCCAAGATGTTCCATTTGCTAAGACTAGAGGATGTCTGTCAAAATAGCTTTTATAATAGAGACATCCTCCTTGTCCACTCACAAAGACATGGTACTCTTCTTAGAACAAGAACAGATTGCTAACGTGACATCCCAATAATTTAGAGACCATTGATGTACTGCCCATATTTTAAGGAGCAGGTAGTTTGAAACTACGGTCTAGACTCATTAGTCTGCTGGTCTGTTCTCAATTACCCACAGTTAGGAAAATTTATGTGGCACTTGGCCATTCCCAGATTCTCCAAAATTAGAGCAGATTGGGTTGCCTACGTGACCTGGTCCAAGGCCATCCCCGGCCACAGAGATGAGATCTCTGTGTCCCTCCGTCTCTCTCTCTCTCTCTCTCTCTCACACACACACACTCATTGCTCTCATGGGAAGAGATTCGTAGGAATGGCAAAGAGCTGGATCTGTTGTGCCTAGATCTTGACTCACTATCTCTCTGCTCCCAGGGCTGGGGCTCAAGAAGTCACTAGTAACTTGGTCTAACATTGCCAGCCATTTCTTCATGCTTCTGATCCAGTTACAAGATCCCCATGCTGAAGTTTTACCTTCCTAAAACAAAGCAAACACTTAATGATTTGGGGGAAGTGTGATAAGGAAGAATTACAGCTCCTCCACAGAGGGTAACCACCAGAAACCCTAAAGATAGAAACTGTCAAAAGTGGCTATCCCTGAGGAGGGAGAAGGGTATGGGGGGGGGGGAGGGTTGGAGGAGAAGGAAATTGCTGCTCACTGTATGTCCTGCATGTAATTTGATTATTTTGCCATGGAGATCTACTTATTAAAAGAGTAAAAAGAGAAGACTACCTCTCCTAGAAATAAAAGCTTACAAAACTTGTAAGAATAGACACATCAATGATAAAGAATACATAAATTAGTAAATATCAGGAATTCAATATTGTAATTTAAAGGGGAATTATAAATCATAGGAATTGAAAGAATTATTCAATAGTGGTATAGCAATTATTGGTTACTAAATTCAATAAAAATTTTAGTCACTTCATTATCACATTAGCAATATAAACATTGATTAGATTAGGAGATCAAATGTGGAAAACCAATGTATAAATAACTAAAAGAATAAAAGTGAATGTTGATCCAATTTCTGGGTAGGGACCAACTTTCTAAATGTCAAGTCAACATAAGAAATCACAAAAAGAATGGGGCGCCTGGGTGGCTCAGTTGTTAAGCATCTGCCTTCAGCTCAGGTCATGATCCCGGGGTCCTGGGGTCGAGCCCCACATCGGGGCTCCCTGCTCAGTGGGGAGCCTGCTTCTCCCTTTCCCACTCCCCCTGCTTGTGTTCCCTCTCTCACTCTCTCTCTGTCAAATAAATAAAATATTTTTTTTAAATAGAATAAAAACACCTTTTTGCACCGCAAAACATCTCAAGAATTCTTTCTTGACCATTGGGCTCAATGATCCTGCATCATATTTTGGTGGCCCATACAGGCATTCTGCATCTTACCTTCATCTGGACTTTGAGCCTCAGCACAACTTGGTGAGTTACTCTCTCTTCTTTTACTTTCATTTCAGAGGCTCTTCAAGGAATATGGTCTTATTGGAATACTTTCGTGTCAATAGCTCAGGCTGCAATACTCTAGCCCGTGGCTACTCTATGGGGACGAGAAAGCCTGCCTTTTGACCGGAAACTCAATTCCTTTTGACTGGAAGCTCATTCTGTTGGCCAGAATGGTTCTAAGGCCCAGAAACTCAATGCCCTCTCGTTATTCCTATTCTTATACACAGTTGTCTTTCTTGGGCACGGACAGCCACCTAAGTCACTAGGACAGCTGCCAATCTTAAGAATCTCATGTAAGGTTTCTTCCTCATTGGTCTAATGCAATCCCATCCAAATCCCTGGCCTACCCACTTCTGGCCACGAGACCTCCTCTCAGAGCTGACTGAAACCAGTACCCAATTGAATTAAAACCCAACTGGGGACCATCTCCTAGAGAAGTCAGCTATAAAAGACTACATGTTTTGGAATGTCACTTAGACCAGGATGGATTTCTATCTTTACTATTCTTCATCAATGTCCCCTACTGAATACTTAAATTACAGTATTATATAATTTCCCCTTGTAAAACTTTGCTGATGTTTTCCATGGGTTAAGAATGACAGGTTCTCCATGGCATTTTGGTCCATTTGCTGGCACCCATTAGTCATCTAGAATGCAATGGGGAATTTGAGGGACACCAGCATTCCTCCAAGGCAAGGCAGTGTTCATAGCACCTTCTTAGAAGGATGCCTCTGGTCACTTTGACACTAGAAACCTCGGACATATCCTGCATAGATGCCACGTAGGAGGCAGGGGGGATTTTTGGTAATAAACCTCTACTTTTCTAGCAGCATGAGATCTTTAGTTCCCAAGTATCCTCCCTTGGGATGCCTTTTAACCTACTGGAATCAATTCAGATTGCAAGATCTAAGAAAGAAAAAAACTGATCTTCTTCTGTAACATTGCATGGCCTCAGTACTCCTCGGGAAATGAGGGAAAATGGCCCATTAATGGACATTAAACTTTAATACGATCTATCCGATCTCTTCTGCAGGAAACAGGGCAAATGGACTGAGGTACCCTATGTCCAGGCCTTCATGGCCCTAAATCAGGATCCTGATCTAAGGGCCTCTTGCAAAATGTGTCTAACCACCAACCAGGTTAATAAACCCCCTCTGGACATACTGGATGATGATTCTCTAAATAGGCCCATTTCTCCTAACAAACCTGGGTTACTGTAGAAATCACTGGCCAATCCAAACAAAGAAGCCACTGGCTCTGTTACACTCTCTCCTCCTTATAAACCTAAAGACCCCTCTGCTCCCAGGCCAGATGGACATACCAGGAGTGGAACTCCCTGTCTTCTAGGATTTCTACCTAAATATGGATTGCATCCTCTTAGGGAGGTTGCTAATGGAGAAATGGGCACAGTTAGTCATGTTCCATTCTCCATGGCAGACCTGGCTCAGATAAACAATTAGGACGATATTCCGAAAACCCTGTTCTCAATTTATGAGGACTTTCAACAATTACCTATTATTTTTTATTTGACCTGGTGAGATATATACATCATATTAACTCGTTGTTGCACCCCTGAGGAAAAAAACCGTATCTGGGCAGGGGCTCAAGAATTTGCTGAAGTAGCAGTCAGAGATAACCCCCTACCCATCATTATCCAGTAGGGGGCACTGCTGTTCCCAATACCAAACCTTACTGGAATTACCAAGATGATAGACAGGGAAGGGAAAGACAAGACCATATGACCACTTGTTTAATAGAAGAAATGAAAAAAGGATTCTCTAAAGGATTTATAAAACTCAGGAAGTTACCCAAGTTGCTGATGAAAATCTAGCTCTATTTCAGGGCTGTTTGATAGACACCATCCCTAAATACACAAATCTGGACCCAACCTCCTCTGAAGGAACAACTATATTAAACATTAATTTTTTAGGTCAGTCAGCACCTGACATCCACTAAAAATTGGCTAAAATGGCTTTAGGCCCTCAAACCCCCACCCAGCGCCCACTAGAGGTAGCTATTGGGGTCTTTATTTTTATTTATTTTTATTATTTTTTTTATTTATTGAGAGAGATAATGATAGAGAGAGAGCATGAGAGGGGGGAGAGTCAGAGGGAGAAGCAGACGCCCCGCTGAGCGGGGAGCCCGATGCGGACCTCGATCCTGGGACTCCATCCCGGGACTCCAGGATCCTGACCTGAGCTAAAGGCAGTCGCTTAAACAACTGAGCCACCCAGGCGCCCTATTGGGGTCTTTAATAATAGAAATATGGCCCTTAGGCAAGAAAATGACTGGAGAGCTAAAATGCAGGGTAAAAAACAGGCTCAAATATCGGCTGGCACTATTGCGGATTCCTCACAACACCAGACTAACCAGGGACCAAAGATAAAGCCGGTATCAGACGAAGGAGCAGGTGAGATCCCATGCTACAGGTGTGGCCAAGTTGGACAGTGGAGCAAAGAATGTCCAAACAAAGGCTCTCCACTAGGGCCATGTCCTGTCTGTAAGAAAGAAGGACATTGAAAATCAGGATGACTGAGCCCCAGGTTACCCTGGATGTGGAAGGTAAGTTTATCAATTTCCTTACTGATACAGGAGTTTTACTCTTCTTACTCAGCCCTACTTGTCTTTCTAAACATAGAATGGTTGGCACAGAAAACTGAAACATGCCTCCAGACAATGCCTTTAGCCTGTACATACAAAAACCAGTTGGTTACTCATGTTTTCCTAGTCCTTTCATCTTGTCCCACTCCATTACTTGGGTGAGACTTAATGTATAAACCAGGAAGCAGGTTTGCTCTGACTAAAGAGGACAGCTTGTTCTCTTTAACACCTGGAAAACTTAAACCTTGCCCTGATATCCCTCCTAATATCTGGAAGGAAGTAAATCCAAAGGTCTGTGATTGGCATGAGACTTAATATTTGTTTATTGATATTGTTTATTAAAGTGACCTTAAAGGACCCAACCACTATACCTCATAAAAAACAAAAACAAAAACAAAAAAACAGTATCCCTTAAAACCTGAGGCAGAGGCTGGGTTACAACCACTTATTGATACATCTCTTAAAGATGGTATTTTAAAACCTTGTCAATCTCCTTATAACACTCCAATTTTACCAGCAAAGAAACCAGATGGAGACTATCAGACGGTACAAGATTTAAGAGCTATAAATGAAGCGGGATGCCTATTCATCCCATAGTGCCAAATCCATATACTATTTCTCACCCAGGTCCCTGGTGATGCCAACTGGTTTACAGTACTTGATTTATTTTTTTCTTAAAGATTTTATTTATTTATTCATGAGAGAGAGAGAGAGGCAGAGGCAGAGAGAGAAGCAGGCTCCCCACGGAGCAGGGAGCCCCATGGGGGACTCCATCCCAGGACTCTGGGATCAAGACCGGAGCCAAAGGCAGACGCTTATGAGCCACCCAGGCGTCCTTTAAAAGACCCCTTCTTGGGCGCCTGGGTGGCTCAGTCGGTTAAGCGACTGCCTTCGGCTCAGGTCATGATCCTGGAGTCCCGGGATCGAGT